AGAAGTCGCTGCTAGCAGGCCCTTCAGAATGGTCGAATTCGATTGGATTTTTAGTTTTAAACTTTTTGCATTGGATTATGCTATAAAATAAGGGACCGTTTACGACATAAAATTCTCAAAGAAATTGGTTACATGGTAAATTGAACCGGTGCGAAATTAAATTGAGAAAATGGATTACGCTATGTAATTCAAACAACCGGTTACGGCATCGAATATGCGCCAATCGATTACGCGATTAAATCAGCTAATGATTCAATCGACTACGATGTTAGATTGGTGATTCGATCACGCCACCAAAAAGGAGCGAAATAGCGCTGTTTTAGGGTTGGCCCCTTCGATGAGGTGCCATCCGAACTGCTCGTAAACCACGATTACACCGAGATGACGGCCTTCTTGAAGAAGACGGCCCTCAACTACCCCGATATTACGTATCTGTACTCTGCCGGCAAGAGTGTAGAGGGAAGAGATCTGTAAGTTGGCCCTTTCCGGAGTTTGCAAGGGCAAGAAGTAAAATTTGTCGTGCCGGGGTTCGAACCCGGACCTTGGGCCTGGCAGGGTAGAGCTTTACCAATACACCAACCTAGTTAACGAGCGAAATAACGTGCTTGGAGCGGAGATAACATAAAAAATAGGGCTAAAATTTAAACTAGAACTTTCAGGTGGGTATTGATCGTCTCCGACAAGCCACGCGAGCACGAGCTGCTCGAGCCGGAGGTCAAGATAGTTGCCAATATGCATGGCAATGAGGTGGGTAGGCTAGCAGAGGGATTTTAGGAATTAAAATTCTAGGTAGTCGGCCGAGAAGCGTGCATCTATCTGATCGACATCTTCACAAGAAATTACGGGAAAAATGAGTGGATCACGAGATATATCAACGACACGAGGTGGGTGTCATTTGGTGTGTAACGTAGGGTACTGTCCCTCTCTCCCTCCCTCTCTCTCTATCTCTCTTCCTCTCTCTCTCTCTCTCTATCTACCGTTTCCAGACTACACCTAATGCTGTCGATGAACCCGGATGGCCACGAAAAGGGCATTGCCGGCGATAGAATGGGGTATACGGTAGGTAGAGACATAAACTCCAAAACTCCATTTTAGGGCCGAGAAAACGCGCACGGCATCGACTTGAACAGGAACTTTCCGGCACAATACCCCGAACATATCGTAAGCCTTTACTGATTCTGGTATCTTTATTTTTTAAGAAAAATGGGGGGCAAGTATGATTTCTACCTTCTTGGGATTGAAAAAGAGAATTAAAAATTAAATAAAAAAAAAAAAAAAAAAAAGGGAAAAAAGGGGGGGGGGATATTGGGGGTTTGGAGGAGGGGGCCAAAAGTTCACTAATAAATTTTATAAAAATTAGGCCGACCAGGGGGGGGGGGGGGGTGTTGGATGGGGATGGGTATTGGTTAAACTCTCGCTTTCTAAGCAAACGACCAGGGTTCGAATCCCGCCGGTGCCAAGCTTTTTGCTTTTTGCTTAAAAAGTTGAAATTTACTTTACTTAGACGTTTCTTTCAGGAAATGTCCGGTGGTAAAGAGCCGGAGCCAGAAACCGTGGCCGTGATGAAATGGCTTCAACAGTACCCGTTTGTACTATCGACGAATCTTCACGGCGGTTCCCTGGTGGCCAACTACCCGTGGGACGACTCGGTGACGGGCAGGGATGGCGAGTATACACCCACCAAGGTTCGTTTTATCAGTTTAAGCTGAGCAGTTTAAATTTCGTTTTACTGGATCGGGTTCAAATTTATAGCGTAGATGGGAAAAGCTAAAATCTACCTGCTCACCAAGTTACAGCCCAAAACATTGCAAACTAAGAAAGTTATGCCGATAAAACGATTTTGCGCCTATGGCCAAGTGGTTCATAACTTTGGCTGCCGAGAAAAGCGTCAAGGGTTCGAATCCGGGCCGCGACAAACCTTTGCTTTTTGGTTTTTCGATCCGTTAATGGCCGTTTTTTTCAGGATGACGTCCTGTTCGTCGGTCTGGCCTACAGATACGCGAGGGCCCATCCGAACATGTGGAAAACCGGAAGGAGATGTGGGCTTCAAGTGGATGGGGACACATTTTTGAATGGAATTACAAATGGGGCCGGATGGTGGGTAAATGGTCTATTTTAAATCTAAGTGGTCAGATGGTTCTTTAAATTCCACCTGTCACCACCCCTTTAAAACCAAGCCACGGCCCCGTTTCCAGGTACCACCTTGCGGGCGGGATGCAAGATTGGCAATATATGCACACGAACTCGTTGGAGATTACGATCGAGATGGGGTGCTTCAAGTTCCCTTCCAACGATATGTTACCCAAGTCGGTTTCCTGAAGGGTTTCTGCTAGCTTGCCCGGAGTTTTGCCGATTTTATGAGCTATTTTCAGACTGTGGTCGGATCATGAGTACGCGCTGCTGTCATTCTTGGAGATGGCTCATATTGGTGTTAAGGGGGTTGTTAAGGTAAGGAAACGATACTTTTAAAAGGACGGGGAAGGCAGGCTTATAGATTATGATATTATTTTTTCGTAATTCCCTATGGATTTTGACGCTCCCGCGACACGCAACGCGACCGACCGACCACATTAGAAAAAGCATAGAGCGTGTCGCGGCGCAGCAGAATCTATTAGGAATCCATATCCCTGCCTTGCCAACCCCTTTAAACCTCTAAATCTCGGGTTCCTCTATAGATGAAAATTCTCTTTCTTTTTACAGGATGAGTACGGTAAGCCGGTGGCCAACGCTACCGTATCCGTGGAAAATGGCAAGGAGATGAAGACGACCAGTGACGGCGAATACTGGAGAATTTTGGCCCCTGGAGACCATGAGGTACGAGCGTTTGATACGGTATACCCAATTCCACCACTTTCCAGCTGACATTTTTCCGCATATGGCCTCGAAACGGAGCAGATGAGGCTGGTGATTAATGGCACGCTACTCGTCAAGAATATCACATTGGCTGCCTGTGGGAAAAACGAGGGTACGGTGGCTTGAGCCCTTTCTAAAAAGGACACTTTATTTCTGTGTTGTTCCTGTGGTAAGTTACGGTAGTTGGGGCGTATTTAAAGGAACGGGTCTCAAACCTCAATTTTCCAGACTCGAAACCGATCATCCGGCGAGGGCGCGGCTCTGTCAGAATCGCGATCGTTGGAGTTAACGAGAAGGCGTCAAAGGTAGCGTTTTGTACTCTGTAGTCTATAACTTCCGGCCAGGATCCCTTTAAAATCGTCCCCTAATGAAAATCTACAGATCCTGCGTCAAATGGCCGCCGATTCGTGCACGGATGAGACGTATCTTGCGGATGATTTATCCCTTATCATCGTCCCGGATGGGATAAATCTACAGAATAAAGCCAGGGTGGGTGCTTCATCGTTCCGGCGCTACTTCAGTTTGCTGGCCCCACTTATATCTGGCCAAAATGGCCTTTTTCTGGGTCAGTTTTTTGCGCTGGTTACGAATAACACTATCCCAGCCCGTAAAAATGACATTTAAGAAAAAAAAATATAATTTTATACCAAAATCTGGAATTTCGATTTTCGTGATTTGACGGCGTTCTAAGTACGCCAGGAGCCTATAAACCCGACCTTTCTGCGCTCTCATGCCGCGATACCGCTTGTTTTCGCTAAAACGGCATCGTTTCGGGAAAATGTTAGCTATTGGCCAGCGATACGCTGTTTCCACCAAGCACCACGGGGAGGTTGCTAACAGAGCTGGCGGGTGGCCCTGAAGAGGGCCGTTTGGTATTTTTTTAGCGAGTGATCATTCGCACGGGTACTGAGCAGCAACCTGGGACCAAAAGTGGTAGAAGATGTCATCGCTATCGCCGAACTCCTGGCGCCACATAAAACTCACTGAGGTAATCACTGTACCCCTCGTTTGTGGCAGTGTTGAGGCCATTCGATCTCTTGATCCCTTTTTTTGAACCGTGACCATTGGCTCTCTACATTTTGGGTATGAGAGCCAGTGTGGGGGTCAACGAAGTTCATTGAATGATTGACCGTGAGATGTTGGTAGCCTTGTGGAAGGGCCGAGATGCCGCCATACGCCCGCCAGAGATCCGAATGGATTGTAGAACCAGGGCGGACACACTGCTCAATAATTGGCAGCAGCGTGTTCGCATCCCGTCGGTCCACGAGCTCCAGGAAGCCACGCCCGGAGCCCCGTTCGATGCCACCGAACATCCATTGTCTCTGGTGCGCAGGCAGACGACCTCTGTTGTACTTACGACGTGCGATGCACGTCTCGTCGATTCCACATCAACACCAGGGCCGCCGATAACTCGAGGGGTTGGCTACAAAGAACTCGGCGAACACGTCTCGATCCATTGGCCCCATTGCACTGCAGTCGCGCTTCCCATACCGATTTCGCGTTGAACTTTAGCCATGGTCCCATATTCATGCAAGTAATAGTATGAATAGTGGATGAGCTTCTTCATTGATTCAGTACCTTCAAAGAAAGTACCAACCAAATATCCGATCTTGGGTTTGGATTCACCTCGGCGACATTTACGCTTATGGCAAACCCAAGCATGATCGCGTGAAGCGCTCGAACCATTGACTTTCATGTCTTGAGAGCCACATCTGGGGCAAGTGCGCTTACTATGAAGCAGCCCCCAGGCTAACAAGCCACGCTTCAATCTGATCATCGGGAAGGCTCAACTGCGGGACCAGTTCCAGATACGTTATCCCTCGCAAGGAGTTCAAACCAGCAACGTTCATCTTCAAATGAAACGAAGTAAAAATTAGCTTTTTTCCTGACTTTTATAGGTGCCTACAGTATCCACGTCGCTTCAGGACCCGCCAGACTTCGGCCTCCCCGCGAATATCGCTCGAAAATCACGAAAATCGAAATTCCAGATTTTGGTATAAAATTATATTTTTTTTCTTAAATGTCATTTTTACGGGCTGGGATAGTGTTATTCGTAACCAGCGCAAAAAACTGACCCAGAAAAAGGCCATTTTGGCCAGATATAAGTGGGGCCAGCAAACTGAAGTAGTGCCATCGTTCCTTTAGAACCAAATTGTCGACTTTCTAAGCCAAGACACGCTCGCTGTAGGTTTGGTGTATTGGTAAGGCTGTTGCTCGTCAGGCCAGGATTCGTAACTTACTGGTGCAAAGCTTCTGCTTTTTGATCAGAAGCTTTGGAAATTGCTATTTTTGTCAAAATAAAATCAAAACCGCCTTTATAAAGTCAAATTTTCCTATTTTTGATAGATTTTCCGGTGATTTCAGATAATCCACGACGAGTACCCGGCAGCTGTATTGGCCGTAGCCGACGGGACGCTGGAAAGTGTAGTTTATAGCGCTGGGGAAAAGGTATGGATTCGAAAACCCCTTCTAAAAGGAGGGCGACATTTAGAAAACTAATTTTTTTCAGGTTCCGAAAATTTTCCACAAAGAAGCCCTGGAGCGGTCGCTGAATAAGGAGCTAGGAGGAGGAGTGAAATGTGCAGAGTCAGTTTTAAGAACCCTTTAAAACGCCTTTAAAAACTATTAGTATAAAATAGCGCTAGCAGAGGTTATTTGGGAATTTTTCCAGATCGAACCACCCGTTATTATCAAGCGAGGTGGCCAAACTGCTCGATGATCTCCAAGTTCCCGCCGCCTTTCAGGTACGGTAGCTCTCTCTCTCTCTCTCTCTCTCTCTCTCTCTCTCTCTCTCTCTCTTTCTTGCTCTGTGTCTTTTATGGCGAATTAACTAAAAGCAATTTTTCCAGGTTGGCGTTGGCCTCGGCTGTGACGCTGATGCAGTCCAAAAACAGGGAGCAGCCGTAGCTGGTATTGCAAAGGTAATATCTGGACCCACTACCGTAACTCCTAACCTGCTCTTCAGATGCTGGAAAAGATTCTGACCCGCGATGCCGTCTCCGAATTCAGCATCCGCCCATCCGTCAGCCCGGCCGACCACTTTTCGGCTAGTGAAGCGGTCGGTTTTTGGGCTTCTAGGCCCTTTTAGGCCTAGGAGGCATGTCAAGACAAGCTAGCAGGGGGTATTGAGGAACGTTTTATCGATTTTTCTATCTGTTCCGATCCCTTTGAGCCGTATCTGGAAAATTTCAGATGCAAGCAACTTCTGCCGCAATCCCAGTACTAGAAGATGAGAGGGGATGCTCGAAGAGGGTCGATTTGCCGAACCTTCGAATGACACAAATGGGCACTGGCCTCCCACCATATACCCTGGTTATGGCCATCGAAAAGGTGCGATAGATGAGGGAGAAAGAGAGAGAGAGGGACAGAGAAAGAGAGAGAGAGAGAGGGCGGGAGCGTGAGTAAGAGAGAAAGAGAGAGCCGAATATTTTGGATTTCTAGAAAACGGAGGCTCTAGTCTACGAGATGGCGTCGTCGTTCTGCGATTCCGGAGCGGCTGATGTACAAAATATCTTGAAACGGTAGGAAAGTTTCTGTTTTCTCGTTTTTAAATGACCGTGGAAATAAGGATCCATAGAATTCGCGGGGTTAAATGTGTTCGGTAAGCAATAAAAACTTTCTTAGCCTTCCAAGTTCCTTTAAAAGTATAGGAAGGCTCCAGATGCCTTCCTAGGTCTATCCTTCCCATCACCTTGAAAAGCTTAAATTAGCTTTCTAAAGGCACTTTCGAGGCAAGATCCGGAATTTCCCCGTCCTTGCAACTCCCTCTAAAAAGTTAAACTACCCCTAACCTACAGCTCGACCCTCCTCTTCATGCCAGAAATCCCTCACACTCAGCTGAGCTGCCACGACTACGCTACTTTAGTGCCTTTTGAACAACTACTGGCTACTGTCGTTGGACTCCTTCCTGAGATTGATCTTATCATGATGTTTGGAACTGGAGGAATGAAGGTAGGGGAGTTTGAGGCCGGCTAGCAGAGAGTCTTTGTCGAATTCTTTTGCAAACATTTTGATTTTAATACTTTTAGGTACGCTATATCAACCAAACATCATCAATCGCCGGCACGATCGCTGAGAAGTACAAATCCCTTCACAACCATATGGGCGGAAAAACGGACATTTGTAGCGGTACGGAATTTAACTGATTACGGTGACTGAAGCTGCAGGAATTCCAAGCGAACGCGACACGATCAAGCAGTTCAGCTGGGATGATAGTGTCGAGTGGAGGAAGACGGATACGATGCTTGTCCAAACTGGGTATGGATCCGTATAACTTACAAACTTTCGAAAAATCTTATGGATTTCTGCCTTTCGAGGCCCTTTAAACCGAAATTTTTACTTTTTAGCTGCTGCTACGAGAATGGCGGTGAGAGCAAACTGTGGGCGGAGAACGAGCCGGCAATTGTCGGATCGCTACTGGCGAGAACGAGGGGAATGTTGGTGCATACGGATGCGAGGCGTGGCTCAATCATTGATTCGGTTGGGAAAGAGCGTGAGCTCGTTAAAGGTGGGTATAAAAATTAAACCTTAAAATAAGAAAATCGACAATCTGACTTTTCATCGCGTAATGATGGCTTTATCGCCGTCTCGGGTTGCCCGTTGCGAGACCCGGTCGCGGAAATTTTTGGGCATGCCAGGGGAATGCATCCATACATAGCTTGTCTGACCCTTTAAGACCTGCTAGAGAGGGAGAGAGAGAGAGAGAGAGAGAGAGCTTTGAGCATTTTTATGGCATTATTTTCCATTTGTTCAGGCTCAATCTTCATCCCTCTCGCCAACGGACGCTACGTGTTCAGGCTGAAGAAGGATGGCGAATTCTGGACAGACGTCTCCGCGGAGGTATGTGCGATACCTTAAGTTGTCAAAGAGGCATGCCTCGCCTAGCGGCCTAACACTGGCAAAAGCCAACCAATGGATAAAAGGACCGCAAAAAGGGCTAGCGGATATGCTTAGGCGAGATGGAGGAGATCGATTGTGCTGCGTAGCGATTTTTTCCTAATTTACTGGGCCTTCCAAATCCCTTTCAATCCCCCCCCCCTGTAGTACATTTGACACCAATATGCGGTGTCCACACCTCTGCCTTTTAGTGTCCATTTGAGGCCTGAGAATGAGGCCCCGTTATCAACTTATTGGCTTACGAGCCTCCCCCATCCATAAGCCTTTTATACGCTGCCCCGCCTTTTCCAAATGACGGCATTTTCCGGTGGTTGTTGCGGCTTTTCCGTGTTTTGCATATTATGAAAGTTACCCAAAAATACGGTTTCACGGCAGCCTAGCGGAGAACCTTTAGGAATGTTCCCCCTATTTTTTTGCCCTCTCACCTAATGCACCGAAAATATTGATCTCGTTTCAGATCTCTGACGCTATCCCATTCCATATCCGAGAAATCGGCGCTCGTGGCGGGATGAATTTGGCGTTGATTGCGATGTTCGCCCTGGTGCTGCTGTTGATTTGCGTGAGTTATCTGCACCTTTAAAAATAGCTAGCATTAGGGCAAATGGCTTATACGAAACTGTAAACTAAAGATTAGCTTTGAACGTATACTAATTCTCTAAAAATGCGAAGAAAAAAACGCAGAAAAATGTTAGGGTTAATCAATTGCGCCACTTAATTCGATAGTACATTAGATTACTAATTACGATAGATTATTACCGTATACTAATAAAAACTTGAGCCAATGAGCTTTTTTTAAATATTAAAAACGGTATGGATAATTGATTACGCCGTCTAATCGTCGCCTACGAGAGAATACTACGGACTCTCACCCAGAGGATTACCATATTTTCATATTAATAAAACTTTTCCGGGTCGATTCAGGCATTCCTTGCCGTAATCCATTTCCGCCCGAAATTCTGGAGGTGAAACTTGCTTATCTCGATTTTAATTTTCCGGCCTGGTGTAGGGCGTTCACTAACGGAATCCAATTTTTTTGTCCGTAAAATTTTTGAGTGGCTTTTTGAGGTGCTGGGCACTAGATTACCGATTGATTTTTGTGGCACTAATTTTTTGTAAATTTTCATAATTTGCAGTGCTTCATCGTACGCGGCCGATTCGTCGGGTTCTTCAACCGGAAGGGATTGTTCCCAGGTGGAAGGTGAGGCATGGCAGAGTTTATTGGGGCGTTGGAGAGAGGGCAGGCTAGCAGTGATTTTGAGGAATTTTAGGGCAAGCTAGCAGAGATTATTGAAGAATTTTAGGGCAAGCTAGCAAAGTTTATTCAGGAAAGTGTAGGCAGGCTAGCAGAGCTTATTGAGGATTTTAAGGGAAAACTAGCCGGGAGCATTTGGGAAACAAGTAGGGCAAACTAGCAGAGAGCATTTGAGAAGTTAAAAATCCTAATTCAAATTTGTAGGGGACGAGATGGCTTTGAGCGAATTCCCCTCTACGAACAGGACGACGACGACGAGGATACCGTAGTCGATATGCACAAGTTGTAAAATGGCCACAAAATTTCATGAAGGAAACGGTCACTTCCCACATTAAAGCCCAATTTTTAAATTTTTAACCCTTGGCCGATTGGCAAAGCTCTCGCCTCCTACCCACACGACCCGGGTTCGACCCCCCTCGGCGAAATTTTTTGCTTTTTGGCGAATAGTTGGGCAATGGCTGTTTCTATCCCCCCAAAATGTCTATTTCCTCCCCACGGGTTTTCTATTCCAAGCAGCTTTTATTTACAGTCCCCCAAAATCCCATAATTTGCGAAAAACAGTATTATTATTTTTTGCATATTTTTATTTTACTGCTTTTTCTGTGATCCCTCCCCAAATATGGTACTATTTTCTGGTTCAGCGGCTGTGCCTTTGCAAATTTACAAAAATTACATTTTTAATTTTTTTTTGGATACTACGGGCATTTCAACAATCTTAGAGATAGATGGTTGTGTTTATTTTCTCTCACTTTGCACGTTAATAATACTGTGATTACCCCTGGTAAATAAAGATTTGATATTTTTTAATATTATCATTTGTTATGCAAATTTTAGCTGATCAACGGCCAGCCAAAACGGTAACGTTGATAGGTGTGGTCTGGAGTTATCTGGAAAGTCGTGGAATTTGTGGAAAATTGGAACACGGCTGACCATTGGAAGCTTTTGTCGTATCCGGACGAGGGCATCGAATTTGGCGCGATCGTCTATGGATACTATAAAAAATTTATAGAGCGAGTGTGAGCTAGAGACAGAGAGAGAGAGGGAGAGAGAGAGAGAGAGCAAGAGAGAGAGTGAGAGTGAGAGAGTGAGAGAGTGAGAAGGGTGGGTGAGGGTGATAGAGCGAGAAAGAGAGAGTGAGAGAGAGCGAGAAAGTGAGAGTGTGAGAGAGTAACGAGAGAGAGAGAGATAGACTGAGATAGAGAAAGAGTGAGGTAGAGAGATTTTTCGGTTCTATACCGGTAACGGGTACTATAAAAAAGATCGGGTACTATAAAAAAGATCGGGTACTATAAAAAAGATCGGGTACTATAAAAAAGATCGGGTACTATAAAAAAGATCGGGTACTATAAAAAAGATCGGGTACTATAAAAAGATCGGGTACTATAAAAAAGATCGGGTACTATAAAAAAGATCGGGTACTATAAAAAAGATCGGGTACTATAATAAGTATCGGGTACCATAGGAGATATCGTGGACCATTGGCCGGAATTGTGGACCATAGATTTCCCGAATTTTTCATTAAGGACCACGGTTCGAATCGTGGACTATAGAATCGGGATTTTAGCCAGATTATGGTCCACGATTCCGGCAGGCGCCAAAAACCGGGATTTATGCTGCGCAGATGCCTAGAATTGCTGGTTAAGGTGTTTTTACGCATCTATGTTCACAATAAATATTATTAATACTTTATTTAAACAAATTTAGACTGTTTGCCGTTGTAATGTGGTATGGTTTGAGTATATCTTGCCTAGAATAGCATTTCAAGTTGTTTTTTAGGCATTTATATTCACCACACGGATTTTTAAGACTGGTGTTTTGCAAAACGTTAGACATTTGAGCTTTGATTGTGGCTCTAATAGGATTAAATGTTTTTTACTAGTTCGCTGCCGCATAAAGTATTGAATGCCGCAGAGGTATCAAATCTCGAGATAAGGTATCTGATCGGGATGCTGATAAGCGCAAATCCAGCCAAATCTGGCAAAGTTCCATGAATCCACGTAACACGTGGACTGCTGCTTGCGCTATCCCTCTAAATTAAAGCAAGGATACTGAATTTGAAATATGGTATTAAAAATCCCAAAACTGAAATAACGTATCTGATGCGGAAATAAGGTACGAAATTCGGGAAAATCCGATAGCCGTCGATATGAGGCATCAAATTATGAGGTTTGGAACTTTTGTCGATGTTCGAGTTCCGGACAATTGCGCTTTTGACGAGTTTAACGTATCTTTCTAAGTGGCATGAGGAATGGCTGGTGCTGATCCAGCTGAGGGGTACAGTACATTGTTGACGGTAACGAGCTACAAGACACACCGTTTAAATTACTGGGTTTTAGCTGAAGTAGGCTTAAATTCGCTCTAATTATGCTTAACTAAAGCCTACGCTGCAATTTAGGCGCAAGGCCGAGTAACTTGGAATCGCTGTGAAAACACAAATAGGCGCTATCTAGGGCTTACGCTATATAGATGGCTAGCTTACAGCCAGGCTTAACTTCGCTGCTCGTAGGCTTCGGCTTGGCTTCAATGGAGCTAATCAGGCTCAGGCATAGCCTAGATTTTCCAGCAGCGTTGATCAGGTTATTGCCAGGAGTTGCATTGAACCGATTAGAGCCACAATCAAAGCTCAAATGTCTAACGTTTTGCAAAACACCAGTCTTAAAAATCCGTGTGGTGAATATAAATGCCTAAAAAACAACTTGAAATGCTATTCTAGGCAAGATATACTCAAACCATACCACATTACAACGGCAAACAGTCTAAATTTGTTTAAATAAAGTATTAATAATATTTATTGTGAACATAGATGCGTAAAAACACCTTAACCAGCAATTCTAGGCATCTGCGCAGCATAAATCCCGGTTTTTGGCGCCTGCCGGAATCGTGGACCATAATCTGGCTAAAATCCCGATTCTATAGTCCACGATTCGAACCGTGGTCCTTAATGAAAAATTCGGGAAATCTATGGTCCACAATTCCGGCCAATGGTCCACGATATCTCCTATGGTACCCGATACTTATTATAGTACCCGATCTTTTTTATAGTACCCGATCTTTTTTATAGTACCCGATCTTTTTTATAGTACCCGATCTTTTTTATAGTACCCGATCTTTTTTATAGTACCCGATCTTTTTTATAGTACCCGATCTTTTTTATAGTACCCGATCTTTTTTATAGTACCCGATCTTTTTATAGTACCCGATCTTTTTTTATAGTACCCGATCTTTTTTATAGTACCCGATCTTTTTATAGTACCCGATCTTTTTATAGTACCCGATCTTTTTTATAGTACCTGATCTTTTTTATAGTACCCGATCTTTTTTATAGTACCCGATCTTTTTTATAGTCCCCGTTACCGGTATAGAACCGATTTTTCAACGACATAACCGAGTCCCTCAAAGATCGCTGCTAGCCTGCCACCTCTCCCCCATTTTCCCAAATATTATCTGCTAGCCTACCCCATTTCCATTCCCCAAATGCTCTCTGCTAGCCTGCAGTCACCACCTTCCCCATAGATCTCTGCTAGCCAGCCCTGCTTCTCCATTTCTGAAAGATCTCTGCTAGCCCGCTTTCTACTCACAATTGTCACGCCCTCTTTAAAAATTCCCAAACGTTCAAAAATTACCTGTCTCATTTTTGTCGACAAGCTGTTTTAAATCCTTTTCATAAGACCCAAATCGCTCCAACTCATAAGAAACCTAAACAATGAATAAGAAAAATTCATAAAAAATTATGGAAACCGCTATAGCTATCAGAAGCTATAGCTATCAGAAACCTACCGCTTTCTGATAGCTATCAATCTCTCCCTTGATATCGGCAAGCATAAAATAGACAGAACAGGCGGTCACTATCCAGAACATTTGGCAGCCGATTAGGTAGTGACGGATGCACCATTCACTTATTTCTTTCATCTGGATAGAACTGAAAAACTGACTTTAGGATCTGTTATCGGGGGAGAGAGGGAGGGAGAGAAAGACAGAGAGAGAGAGAGAGCGAGAGGGAAACAAGGAGAGAGAGAAAATGAGCGAGGGAGACAAAGAGAGAGAGTGAGAGAGAGAGAGAGTGCGAGAAACGAAAGACAATTGGGGAGAAGAGGCGCGCTCCAAATTAAGTTTCCACAAGTATCTCTGCTAGTCCTCTCAATTGTACAAAAAAGTCTGACTTTAAGTCGTTCCGCAATAATCGTTGTGAGTTTCCTCATTTTTCTAAAAAATCTCTACTAGCTTGCCCGTTTCCGGGCAGTCCCTCTAGAATTTCCCAATGTTGTTTCCAAGCAAGATCGAGTAAAAATTAAGATATAAAATTCCATATTCAGCTAGAAAAACCTAGTAAATTGCGCACCTTAAAAAGTAAAGAATTAGGTGATTTGAAAACCTATTATTCGAATACCATTCCAGAACTGCATCTGATAAGAATATTGATTAATTTCCGGGGAGTAGAAGGTCGATCTCTCGGCAGGTGGAGAGGAGGAAGAAATGCCCCATTGTGACAGGCTGATGCTCAATTTTGGCAGCTGAAATGGCGGGCAGGAGAGCGAGAGGTAGAGAGGGGCTTCTCGATCTCATTCCGTTCTTTCCTCTTTACACCCCACTCTTCACGCTCCCCAGACACAACTCGCCCAATTTGTCGAACGGAAATCACGGCAAAATGGGTGGATGGGATAAAGATCAAAAGGCACACTAAGATGGGCTGTCACTATCTATATAAAATTCCCTCACTATCAGTAAGTGAGTTTAAAATATGGGAAAAAGTGGTTTCCTAACCCTTAGCGCATTGGTAGTGGGCTAATGCATCGCCCGCATGGCCCGGGTTCGACTCCCGTCCTCGTCAGACTTTTTGCATTTTGCCTCGTTTTTCAACTGTCAATGTACGGCGCATAGAATTGTAGTTTGTAGCCTGCATCACCTTAAAGATACCTAAAAATACCTGAATCAGGGGTCAAATTCTGGCGCAAAACGGCAATTTCGAGACATCGTCGACATTTTTCAGCATGGCTCTGAACAAGGTCAGATGAAAAATATTCCACCCCCTAAAAATACGCTCTTATTCCGTGACATTTTGCCGCAAAACGGCAATTTTCCGCTGTAGTGTATTGGTAGTGCTCCAGGCCACCGTCCACACGACCCGGGTTCGATCCCGGCTGGGGGCAAACAGTTGATTTTTGCTTAAGACGTCAATATAGTCTATTTATGAAGCCTAGAGTTTTAGTTCGTCGCTGAATGCTCCTAAACTCTGAAAAAATTGTACTTTTAGTTAAGGTTGCAAACAAAAGTTAATTTTTAGCTAAC